ATGTCAGCTATATGCAATGTCAGCTATAATACATAAATAAAGCTGACTATGTATTGGGAATGAATCTTACTTAAAGAGTCCTCATCTTGCCTAATTTTCTATAAATAACTTAATCTCAACCTAAACTCCTGATCAGTAGGGAATTCTATATCAGTCATTCTTGGTGGTCTTTAACCTCCACCAGGGTGTGTGTCAGGTTTCCGAGGTCATACTACACAGTGCTACAGCCATGTTTACACACTAGTTAACGCTGGAACATCTGTCCTAGCCTGCATGATCCCTTCAGGTGGCTTCCCGACATTTAAGTTCCAGCTGGGGGCAGATTTACTGCAAAACTTCAGGGCCTCTAACTTCAGTGGGTCCCTTCCAAGGCCCTACACTTAATTGAGTGTAAGTTTATATCCTTTTTCTTAAAGAGGAATCCCCAAATTGCATAAATGTCAGGCACCACAAAACCTGGACACCCCATCAGCTCAGAACTTTCCTGGTTAACTAATCAGCGTAAACTTTTCTTCCCTACCCCACATCTGCCTAACTGCCAGTAACTTTAGACAATTTTTACCTTCTCTCTTCCTAATTTTTTTCCTCACTACACTTAGCCATATCTGAATTTATTTATTCGTTTAAAATGTGTTCACTTTTTGTCCCTCCCCACTAGAATGTAAGTTTATTGAAGGCAGGCACTTTATTTATTTTGATTCATTCCTATATGCCTAGAACCTAGAATGATGATTGACAAATAATAGATGTTAATCAATATGTATTGACCCATCAACCTCTGGTCTATCAAACTGCTGCATTCCGGTTGTCTTAGTTCATTTGGGCTGCTAAAACAAAATACCATAAACTCGCAGCTTTATAAACAACAAACGTTTATTTCTCACAGTTCTGGAGGCGGGGAAGTCTTAAGATCAAAGGCACAGCCAGATTTAGTTTCTGATGAGAGCTTGCTTCCTGGTTCATAGATGGTAGTCCTTTCACTGTGACACTACATGGTGGAAGGGGCCAAGGGTACTAATGTGACATAACTAGCTCCCCAAAGCCCTACCTCCTAATACCATCACCTTGGGGGTTAGGATTTCAACATACGAATTTTGAGGGGACATAAACATTCAGACCATAGTATAAACCAAGTCTGGGGCACACCTATGTTTGGCTAGTGGGAGTTCCAATGCTTAGGTTCCAGCCCCTCTATGCAGCATTAAGCCATTCATTCTGAGATCTTGTCACATTCTAGGGACACTTCCAGAGATCAGGGAGCAAATCCCCACTGCTCTAGAGGCCCACCAACTTCTTTCTCATCCTTTTAGTCTATGCATCACATTTTATTCTCAGTGAAATCCTTCTTTTCCACAGAAGCGCCCAAAAATGGCTTGGGAGATTCCCTTTGCTTGGTTCCCCCTTCTCCACCCTAAATAGAAATAATATTACATGATATTATGAAATAACATTTTTAAAAAGTGAGAATACAAGCAATTTTAGAAAATGTTCCTGTTTGTGTTGATCTATACTACTATGCAAATGTAGCTTCAATAAATTCCTAGCCAACTGGTACACTACTTCCAACCAGATTACTAGCCCTAAATTCTTATTCAATAGACATTTGGGGGTGGTCACTTCAAGCTAGGAAGGAAAGTGTTTTGAAAGCAACTTCTGCTTTCTTCCTTGCCACAAACATCCCCTGAGGCAAGGAAGCCGAGTTGCTATCAGCTTTAATGAGGGAAGGAAAAGAGGCAAATACAAGAAAACAAAATCTCATTTTTTTTTTCTAATATACATTATTCATTTAATCTTAAAACAACCACATGAGGCTCATATTATTCCCACCTGCCAAAACTGAGCATAGTCTTTACCAGTGATGTTGTGTCTGTTATCACTGCACATGTTTATTCTCACTAATACCCTATTCTGTCCTTTTTTTGCATTCCGGTCTCTGGAGGAATTTAGAAGCTTTTCTCAGAATTTCAGTTTAAGGACATTTGAATGAATCCTTCAACTAAATGCTAGTGTTCCAAGATGGAGCTCATGCACCTAAACTCTCCTTCCAGATGTTGAAACATCCTATATTATTACATTCTCTAGTTATTTTGCTAATAATAAACTTGACTGTGAGCATAATATATTATGCTACACTCTTTAGATGATGGTACATCAGAGAACACAGAAAAAAATCTAAGCTTTGTGTGTGTGTGCATGTGTGAAGATTTAAATTTTATGATTTACTGAAAATGTCTTCAAATTGATCATTAACAAGTAAATTAATGGTTAGTGGGGGATATCTGTAGTGTACTTAAGTTTTGAAAAAGATGTGTACAGATCCTCTTCTGAAAATCTCCTGCATGTAATAACTAAAGACCCCAACTGATTAATGATTTGCTGCAGCAAAGGAAAACATTTAGCAAATTAATACAGTGTAATTTGCACTTCTATTTTAAGGCTTAATTTGCATTAAAAGAGCTGAACAGTATCTTGACACCCTTATCTACTCAGAGAGCATTAAGAAATGAAAATATTTGCATTTCTTCAATTTCTTTTTCTGCTTAGATAAATTTTTAAGTTCATACTGCTATTAAGGTATTACGAAGTGACTGGCTTTGTGTTGTTTTTTAAACAAAAAGTTTTGCCTTTTCTGGAGTTAGTGGTAGGTCTCCAGTATCATTAATTCAAAACAAAAATAATTCTCCTTAAAAAAGCAAACAGGTGGCAGTTTAACAGCACTTCCAATGAGATTAACACAGAACTTCGTGACCCTTAGATGTGGAGAAGGAAAGCTAACCTCAGAGAAATTTGCATATATTAACAGCCCTGGTGGGTTTTTATTTTGTTTTGTTTTTGTCTGGTAGCCTTTGGGAACTGATGCTTAACAATTTATTAATAAACTACTGTTTTATTTATTAATTTTACATCCTAAAGTAAGTGCTTGAATCAGAAATAACATACTTCCTACCGAACTCTTGCCCAAATCAAAACTTGAGATACCAATCTATATTCCAGGGCACTTTTAAGAGCTACCAAATAGACCATAACATTCTTGGGAAATAGTAAAGATAAGCTGTCAGTTTTTCTAGGTAGATAGAAGAGCTGACAAGGCAATCCTCAAATTCCTTTCTTTTATTTTAAGAACTGTATTCTGGAGTTTTTTAAGTGGATAGGAATTTTGTATTTTAGTGCTGAGAGTGCTCCAGCACCTAACACTGTCATTATTCAAAGTTCTGATTGGTGCATTTTAGGCATGTTACACTCACTTTCTATTTCTACAATATTTTTAGAGGAAATATTTTTAACCACACCTGGGTTCTATTACTATCCTAGTAATTGCTATTCAGAAAATTTGGTCTTACAGGCAGGTGGTTTCCTAATCAAATTTTACCCATTTTTTATTTCTCAATATGATAAGCTGTAATGTAGTCTACTGGAAAATAAGAGAAGCTTCATTCTTCACTGCTGTATCTGAAGCATCTAGAACAATGCTTAACTCAGTACAGGTGCGTAATATTTCTGAAGGAATACTAATCCTGCTGCTGAGAAAAATTTGGTAAATCCATTGGTTCTTTGGAGACTCAGTACAGATGATCCCTCAAGTTCCATTCAATGCTAACCTTTTATGACTTCTCTTATTTTGGCGCTAAATGTTCTAGAAAATAGTGGATGAGAATATTGTATTGTTTAGAAAAATATCAGTTGGTGGACATTACAAATAGATGGCTCAAAAGACGTTAGTATTTGTTACAAATCGCTCGCGCGCGCGCACGGTATCATACATGACAAAGTTCAAAAGCCTTTTTTATGATTATGATAAATTATGAAGTATTTTGAACATGTGATCTCAAAAGGTGGTTTAAATATGTCGTAATCGTCATTGTATCGCCAGTACCTGGAACCATGACTGGTTCATAGTAAGTATTCACAAAACACCGGTTAAATCAATTGCGTAGTGTTAACATTCCTTCTGAACTCTAGAAGCAGCTGGGTCTTTATCCACCCCTAGAAAGCGATGGAGCAGGAACCAGAAATCCCTTAAAAGGTCAGGACCAGTAACAAGGCAGAGCTAAACTCCGGGG